AGCCCGAGAACCGATTTATAGTTTTTTTTGTTCAAATAAAGTTTTCACCGTGCGGTGACGGAGAAAGAATACATAACTCACCGCCCCTTCCTTTCCTGTGGGTGTCGTAAGAGGCGACTAAAGGAATTCGAGCTCAGATCTGCTCGCAACTGGTGGTAGGGTTTAATTCCGCCTGGTTAGTTACCACCGTACACGAATGGTGAAAAACCCGTGAAGTGCTCGCTTGTAGAGCGCGTTTCGGGATCAGCCAACGTACAACCAGAGCTCGGGTCGACATTGCCGCGATTGTTTCGGTCCGGTGGGTGCCTCCGTCGAACCAGTGCCAGGAGGACTGCATCGACCCGCCAGCCAGGGAGACCCGTAGAAACGGCTGACCGCTGGCCGCCCGTGGTACAGTACAGGGGCCCAAGCGTGCCTAACCAGCTCGTGAGGCTGCCCTATCATGCCACGCATAATCTTGGGGTGGACTGTCGTGCCGGTTGGTGACCGGAGCGTGGGTCCCAGCGGCCACTCCCGGGAGGGTACGGGGGCCCTTCCGTCTGGCGGATCGGTGCTACTCCTCTGTGGGCAACACCTGGGGAAACAGGCGCCCACATTTTTGACTGGAGCAGTCGCGGCAATGCCCTCCCGCTTCATGTCTCCTCACCCCTTATCCTTATGGCAGCCACAGCAACACATTCTGGTCGTACAGCGGTGTACAACCCCACGCCTTCGCTGTTTGAGGTTAAGTTCTCTAATATACGGGGACTCCATGCCAACCTCAATGTTGTCCACCAACACCTAGAGACAGCACGGCCTGCAATGATGTTTCTGACGGAGACGCAAATTCTCCATCCGGCCGATACAAGCTACCTTCACTATCCCGGCTACGCACTTGAAGAGTCCTTCAAAGCGAAAGCCGGTGTATGCTTGTTTTGTCCGAGCGGATGTTTGCTGTCACCGATTGCGCTACCTAGAGGACCCTTCCTTTTCCCTCCTAGCGGTGCATATAGACTTAGGTCATCGGACTCGAGTCTATGTGTGCCTCTACAGATCCCACACTGGCGATGCGGAGACAACTCGACTTTATGACCACCTCAGTCGGGCGGCAGATTACGCGCAGGAGCAGAATCCTAACGCAGAACTGGTTTTCTTGGGGGACTTCAACGCTCACCACGAATCGTGGTTAAGTTCCTCCAAGACGGACCATGCGGAGAGATCAGCCCACGCATTCGCTCTCACGCATGACTTGACTCAAATGGTCGATCAGCCCACCAGGATCCCAGACATAGTCGGTCAAGCGCCTTCCTTACTGGACCTTCTGCTTACGAGCCATCCCGTCGGGTATCAGGTTGATGTTCATGCCCCACTGGGCAATTCCGACCACTGCTTGATATCCACCAAAGTGCCGCGAATTGAGCCCCCTCAACCTCCGAGGACTCGACGACGCGTATGGCACTATGGCTCAGCGGACTGGGACGGCATGCGCGAGTACCTTGCATCCGTTCCTTGGAAGCAGCGCTGCTTTAGTGAGAAGGATCCGACAACGAGCGCCGTTGCTATTACTGAGGAGATCCGTATTGCTATGGAATACTACATTCCGCACTCCGATCTGATCAGTATGGGCAAACACAACCGCTGGTTTAATCGCGATTGTGCTAACACTGTTGCGTCTAAACAACAGCTGGCATATCGAGCTTGGATCAGGGGTCGTGCACGGAGGGATCCCGATGTTGACTCAATAAAAGCGGCCTACAATCAGGCTTCCAAGTCCTGTAAGAGGGCTTACATCAGAGCGGATGCCCAGCGCGTCGCACGTATTGGCCATGAGCTAGTTACGCACCCTACGGGCACCCGTAGCTACTGGCGTCTCGCCAAGGCCGTGCAAAACAATTACTGCCAACCCTCGCTGCCACCGCTTCGATGTCCAGATGGAACATTCGCTCACAAGCCGCAGGAGAAAGCCGACCTCTTGGCAAGCCTCTTCGCGGCTAATTCCCAAATCGATGACTGTAATGCACTGCCACCAACGTTATTTTCTTGTGGCTTCACTATGCCTGATATTCATATCAGGCAGCGTGATGTGCGTGCGGAACTACAGTCACTCGATGTCCGGAAAGCTAGTGGTCCTGATGGCATACCTGCGGTTGTTGTAAAAATGTGTGCAGCGGAGTTGACCCGTACTTACGCGCCTATATCAGCTATCTCTTTCTTCGGGTCGTGTACCTGAGGCTTGGAGAGAGGCCATTGTGCAGCCAGTGCCCAAAAAGGGAGATCGGTCAGACCCTGCAAACTACCGCCCTATAGCTATCACCTCTGTGCTGTGTAAAGTCCTGGAAAGGATTATTAACTCCCGACTGATCCGATACCTAGAAGATCACTCCCTTGTAAATGATCGTCAGTATGGCTTTAGACCAAAACGATCAACGGGCGATCTTCTAGCGCACGTCATGCACCTCTGGGGTGAAGCTATAGACAAGCGCGGCGAGTCCTTGGCTTTCAGTCTTGACATTGCTAAGGCATTTGACAGGGTTTGGCACAAGGGACTTCTCTCCAAGCTTCCGGCCTACGGTCTGCCCATTCAGCTCTGCGCCTGGATAGCCGACTTCCTGCGTGAGCGTAAAATCCGTGTTCTTTCTGACGAATGCTCTTCACAGCTTATGACAGTCAATTCCGGTGTGCCTCAGGGGTCCGTTCTATCCCCTACACTTTTTCTGCTGCATATCAATGACATGCTTCCACTTGGAAATATGCATTGCTATGCAGACGGTAATACCGTGCATGTGGGATATCACGGGGTTCCTATGGTCGGACGGGCGGAAATCCTGGAGAAAAGAGAGAATCTTAACATTGGGCTCAATCACGTTCTGGATCTCATACCGAAATCGGGTGCTGAAAATCTGGTTGGGTTCAATGCCAAGAAAACTCAGGTTTGCGTATTTACCGCCAAGACCCCTCCATTCCCTTCCCTTCCCTCTCTTCAGGGCACAACCTTGCCTCTACAGAGCAGCATCAACATGCTCGGGATGGAAGTGCGCTGTGATCTGAATCCCAAAAACCACATCGAGTCTGTTATTAAAACAGCATCACGTAAACTCGGTGTCCTGAACAAGGTGCGGCGTTTTTTCACGCCCGAACAACTGTGCCTGCTATACAAAACGCAAGTCCGGTCATGCGTGGAGTATTGCTCGCACCTTTGGGATGGCTCCGCTAGGTACTTACTCGATGCTTTGGATAGATTGCAGCGCCGCGCAGTACGCATTATTGGCAATGGCGAAGTCACCAAGAACCTAGAAAGCCTGCAACTTCGCCGAGACGTTGCTTCGCTCAGCGTCTTCTACCGTCTCTACCATGGTGAATGCTCTGAAGAACTCTTTTCCCTTATCCCCCCATCTCCCTTTCTCCTCAGGACCACACGTGCTGGTTTGCGTTGCCACCAACTAACTGTGGCAACGATTCCTTCGCGTACAAAGAAATTTGGCGACTCATTTCTTTGTCGAACTTCCAAAAAATGGAATTGTCTCCCGGCCCATGTATTCCCTCCTTCCTATGACATGGAGTCCTGCAAGCGGGGCGTGAAGAAGCACCTTGCAGGTCGGCAAGGTGAGGTTGGCTAGTGCAGTACGTAGGTACTGCTTTCACTAGCTGTCCTCGCGTTTGCCCTCCATTTTATAAATAAAAAAAAGTAAAATTTTTTGTTTTTGTTGGGAAGGGACTTAAAATACTAAAAAGACAAAGAAAAATGGAATAAACTGATGATAAATGTAAAAAAAAAAACAAGTAATGGACCGTATAGCAAACCAGAAGGTAAATCTACCTACTAGAATTTCTCGCGGGCGGTTGCCAGCCCGGTTTCGAGATGGTACGATCACGAATCAACGAATTACAGTTAGTCACGAGCTCTCAGAGTGAACGCGCACGCGCTGTCGTGTCAATCGTGGTTACGCTTAATCAGTTCTGTGCAATCAAAGGCGAAATAACTGTACCAATAGGAAATAACAAATTATTTAGATAAAGATTTGTTTTCTTTTCGAACCCTCTTACAACCGACTTTTTACGATATGTCAAAAATAAATCGTCATTATGCTAACTGTACGTAAAAAAATATTTTTTAAATAGATATGTTGTTAGATAATATATCTGAGCATTGTTTGATCTTGCCGCGTATGATGGGTGTGGTGCACAAAACCCGCCGCAGATCAGCGGTTTGTTATGTCTTGCCAACACATAAATGTCAAAATGCGGAGTTAATGAGAAAGTAATTAAAAAAAACATTAGTTCCCGAAATCAAACTAGATGTCGCTACGGTACGTTCTTGATTTCTCCATGACAACCCTTCCGGTTTTCTTTCACGTTTAAAAGTAAATTCGTTTTCAAAACTTAATAATCAACTCGTATTCTATTTGTACTTTTTCGTATTGGTATTGATATCTAAGTTCCGAACTTTTCAAATTTCTGTTTTATAATATGTTAGTTAAAAGGAACGGAAATTACTATCTGTCCTTTTGTTTCCTACAAAAATTGTATGCAACTTTTGAGGTGCTTTATAAGTGCTTTCGTTTTTTTCAAATACTTCCTCATTAAAAATGCAAATATTTTCCGGATTTGTCGTTAACATATTAAATAGTTTTTGTATTTTAACAAAGTAGGTGTTTTCAAAATAAATAAATATACTTCATTATTTATATTGACTAAATTCTCTGTAGTCGATTCGATTTGAAGATAAGCAGCTAGACAGATTATATACAGCCAGTAGTACTTCATTGAGAAAAGTATAAAACTCAACCGATTATTTATAATAACTTAAGTTTTTTACGTTTCACGAGTCAAAAAGTCTTACTTTTATCAACTGAGCATTAGAAATAAAATCAGTTTAGTTACTCGATTAAGGCGTATCTGAAATAGAGAACGTACCACAAACCACAACATTCAAAGCAAAGGCATAAAAATTACATTGACATAACTGGAAAATATATCGCTTCTTAATAAAAGAATCGATTCCTGAAGGTATTAATATCCCATGTTTATCGCGTACATCTCTATTCAAAAAAGCGTGTTGTTTTTGAAGTTTCGGGCGCATGCAATTTACGTCAGATTGAGCCGTATTTTTAGGTTAGTAATTACGCCTTGTTTACTTTCGTATAAACTTTTATTGATATAAATTTGCTATAATGTCATTTCGTGGTCGAGGAGGAGGAGGTGGTGGCCGCGGAGGTTTTGGTGGTGGAGGCCGTGGTCGAGGTTTCGGTGGAGGCGGCGGCCGTGGTAGAGGCGGCGGCGGCGGTGGATTTAGGCAACAATATGATGCTGGACCACCAGAATCTGTGATCCCTTTGGGTCACTACGGGTGGACAGTACAGGATGACCTAGTATGCAAAGTGGACATCGAAGACGTACCGTATTTTAATGCGCCTATATATCTAGAGAACAAAGAACAAATCGGGAAAATCGACGAGATATTTGGTAATCTACGTGATTATTATGTGTCAGTGAAACTCGGCGAGAATATAAAGGCTAAGAGTTTTAAAGATGGACAACAATTTTTCATCGATCCCGCGAAGTTATTGCCTCTGAAGAGATTCCTTCCCCAGCCTCCTGGCGTTAAGAGAGGCGGTGGGGGTCGCGGCGGTCGAGGAGGACCGAGAGGAGGTCGTGGTGGTTTTGGAGGTGGTAGAGGCGGCGGCTTCGGGGGTGGTCGTGGCGGCGGATTCAGTAGAGGTGGCGGCAGGGGTGGTGGGTTTGGTCGTGGCGGCGGTGGAGGTTATGGCGGCGGCCGTGGCGGTGGCGGCAGAGGAGGCGGCTTTAGAGGTGGTCGTGGCGGCAGATAATACTTAGTGTCCTTATGGTATAAACTATAATTGATAGTATGTATGCAGTGAAAGTGTGGTGTGGGCGCTCACCATATAAATGTTCAAGAATTATTTGTTAATAATTTTTAAGTGAATGTTATTTTGTAATAAGGATTTTGACTAATAATAAATGAGATTGTGATAGGAACAAATGAATTTTTAATCAGTCTTCATTTTATAGAATTAATATGCTAAAATACAATTTGCATTTATTACAATTGTAAGAATTAATAAACACTGATAAAGCATTAGTTAACCATTTCTATCAACAATTCTGTCAATAACTGCTACTAAGGTATATATTACCAAGTTTGTATGGTGAGGGCCATAAAATTTAAACCGTTATATTATGTACTAAGGAAGTAAAAATATATTTTAAAACAATCTTTTTTTTGTCTTTTGCTTACCACATCTGCTTGGTAACAATGAAACAATGCTTCATTATATATTTACCTGTACATACAACTCGGTATAACTCCGTCTTTTTGTTATAGATCAGTAAAAATAGGCTAAGAAATTAAATAAAACCAAATTATAATAACTAAATACTTATTATTATTATTATTAACAAATTAAACTATACAAAAATATGAATAGTTGATTATTCTGAATTTTCTAACTCTGCTTTACTAGTGCTGGGTACATATTTTGCAGATAGGGATCTCCCTCTATGGTTGAAGATGGCAAAAGAGGGCATATTGCATTGTGTCTCCCAAGTAAGGTTGTTCAGTTCAGCAGCAGCAAGAATCTCCCTTAAATTACCAGCCAAGTTCAGCACTCCCCACATTATTGCAAATAAACTCAGAACTGCTTGCACCACAATCTATGACAAATGAGAAAAATATTAGGTTTTTATAACATATAATTTTGTGTACTTTAGTCTGGTTCAATGCATATTTGATGTAATAGAATATCAGAGCTATATGAATTGACATCAACCTTATACACTCAATGGAAGATCTGTTGCATACATTTTCATTAACCCTTCATGATTCTGAATAATCACTGACTCGCATTGGTATTACCTACATAACTTTTTACATTTAGAATATCATAGTTAAATATATCTATACTAATATTATAAAGAGGAAAGTTTTGTTGTTTTTTTGCATTGAATAGGTTCTGAAACTTAAAAACTATTTCACCTACTGGTAGCTTCATTATATGAGGATGGCAAAGGCTATAATTTTGTGTCCAATAAAAATAATGTTTAAATGAAACCTTGGTCATATTTGCCGAAGGGTTGTATATAACGAGCAAAATGCACATAAATATAAATGTATCTGTTCTTATACTTACATCTAATGGCAATGTGGTAAATTCTTGTGATGTGATTCTCAAATATGAACGATCTGAAATGTAGTTGCAAAGTCATTAAATTTTCACTTAATATTAATTTCTGCTGTGCTAATATTTACTTAAATTAAAAAAAAAACTATATAAATAAAAATTTATCACTGCATTTGTGGCAAACTGCTTAACTGGAGAATAGAGACAGTAACAGATCATTTGTACTGATTATTTTTATAATACTGGTCGAACTCTGAGGAATGAAAGAAGTCATTTTTTTGCCATATAAACTGGGTTGTATGAAATTTGTCAAGACAGCAAACTTTTTAATTAAGTGGTATATTAAGAATGTTAATTATTTAAACAAGAAATGTATGTAAGCAACTTACGTTGTGCAGCCGAGAAAGCAGAATGAAATAACGAAAGATATCCAACGAATACTATAACTTTATGAAAGGACGACATTATCAATAATAATATTCGGTTTCGTAGCGTATAAAATATACAATAATAATACAACAAAGAAACTTATTAATTCACTCAACGTTTCTGAATCAGTTGTTTTTAAATTCCAATTGTAGTAGTAGTAGTAGTAGTTTTGTCTTAAATTCCAATTAATTTTATTCACAACACATCACATTCACATTTCATATTTTTAGTGAAGTTACAAACTAAACTAGTCTTGTGTAGTTCATGAACGATGAACGGTTAGGAAACGTCTCAGATATATGATCTAATAGGACTTCACTAAAATTGACCTACACACATCAACAATGTCTACGGATATTTTTATTAAGTTCTAAATTCAAAAAATACTGGCCGGTTTTAAAATCTTTTGATGAAAACTTATTTTGTACGCCTTTTTTGATGATTCCAAATTCGAATTCTTATAAGGCATATTGATCATTTTGTAGGCAATTTTGTAGAACATAAACAAAACCATGAAGTCATGTAACATAATAACTAAATATATTGTCATAGTTTATTGATTACTCAACAAAACGTGTTTACTATTCTTTAATAATCTACATGAAGGACAGCCAAAAAAAAAATTGTCATCATCACTATAAAATTCACCGCTGAAACGAAAGTTTAAATCGTTCCAAACGAGTTTTAGCTCTATTTTGCCTATTGTTACAGGCAGATTAGAACTAATAATCACCACTGATCGATTAGAACTTATAGAATTATTTAACTGAACTAATTCACTGTACGGAGTACGGAGTACTAGTACGGAGTGCTCTTTTAGAAGATCGAGCAGGCACAAGACTAATACGAACTTTGATGACATAATGACATGACAGTTATAGCTACAAACAAACTATATAGGGTATCCTAAAAATAACTTACTTTATGGTTAGAGTTCATTCTATAGTCCCTTTGTCAACTATCGTTAATTGAAGTAAAGCAACAGTATCGATATATCACCAAAATTTATTAATATTAGTTTTTATCTGTGTGGGTATATTTATGAATATTATTTATAACTGCTATTACTATATATACTACTACTATTCTACTTATTTTGTGCTATAGATTCTGGCAATAGTACCATATTATAGATATTATGATCAAGCATCCAAGTCGAGAATAAAAAAAACATCGATATTATGAATGGTATGTTTGTGTAACGATGGAAGGTTCATAAAAATATTTATGAGTTATCATCGATATCGATATATAGCCTCACAAAGCAGATACATTTTAAGTGTTAAGATAATCCAAAATAACTTATTTGTATTTAAATAAATTACTGTTATTTTATACATCTATTAATTGGTAGCGGATACCAAATATTTACTCCTTAGCTTTCATTCGATATGGAGCTGTTCGTTAAATACTATTGGTATTATCGATATTGATATTTTTTGCATAGTTTATGTTGGTATTTCATTTCGATATGTCATTGGTAGCAGTGATCGAGCATCTCTATTTGTGGTTTGTTTTTTGTTTTCGGCGCAGTGCAGTAGTATGTAGTACCTCCTTCTTGACTGTGTGTAGTTGTCATAGAGTATCTTTGTAGTCAAAGAGTGTTATGAATTGTTGTTTATTTCGTTTATCAAGTATAAAAGAAAATGATTCGGAATCCAGATTTACGAGCGTTTGAAATAGAAACAAAGTCTTCGCGAAAGCCTCGGGAACAGAATTCCTTTTTTAACGAAGAGACTGGAACATTTTTGGGAAGAACGCCTGATAGTTGGGGTCAGTGAACCTTTTCGTGCTGAAACTTTAAAATGAATGAATTTAATGTTTGTCGGTACCTAATTATATTTTTCTCCTTACTCACTTTCATTAAATTTTATTTGCATTCAAATTAAAAGAATAAAACATGCTTGTTAAGGGCGTGGCTTATTCCAAAATGTTGTGTATCGCTCCTCGTATTAGAAGGCTAAATCAATTCTTAAATATTTTTATTTCAAAGTTTCAAAGGCTATTAGTAGATTATTCAAATTTTTTTCATCATCAAAATTACAATGTTATCATTTAAGTATACGAAAAATGCGTAAGACAATAAAAATGTGGTCCTATCGTTTTATAACGCCTTTCCGTTACTCAAACCTGAGTATTTGATAATAAATTGTGCTAACTGTTTGAGAAGCCCTTCCTATGATCCAATTAATCAAATTCCGACATACAGGTTGTATTGATGACGTGCTAATAAGTGTTAAATGCCGCCGATTCTGTAATCCTCTATGAAGCCATAATAGAAACAAATATTGTGTATAAAATAAATATGTAACACTAAAATCGGATTTACAAATTTGTATTAGGATTTATGATGAATATTTCTCAACCTTTTCTGGCCAATCAACCCTTCAGATAGCAACATGAAGGAACTGCAATAAAAAAAACATGAAATGTAGATCAATTACATTGATGTTTTGGGTTCAACTTATAATGCCATCATATTTTATGTCAAAAAATGTTTATAAAAGAAGCACATGCTTGAGATGGCATTATAAGTCGATGAGCATGTGCTTCTTTTATAAACATTTTTTGACATACATTTTTTTAATATTTAATCATCAACTTAGAACAGATAAGCCATTAATAAAAGAAGAAGAAGAATGATGTTTAGTAATATGTTTAGGTCATGTCTATTTGAGTTTATTATTATTTTGACAGTATTGCAGTATCTAGAGAGAATAAATTATCAAGTATTAAGAAAATTAAGCAATCTTTTAAATTAAACAATAAATTGTTGTAAAAGATCAACCCAAGTGTGTATCTATAATTATATATTATATAATTTAAAATAAAACTAGCTTTACTTAGTATTCTTGTAAAATATAAATAGAAATGTTTTGAAAAAACTGAAGGTCCTTTTTCTGTGATCTGGCAAGGTAATTTCCATTTGGATATTGATAATGACTATACAAAAGAAATGAACATTAGCGAAATACCATTAGTAAATAAGGCTGTACGTTAAACTTCCACAATTGATTTTGTGCTCTACCCTAAATGTTATAAAGTTTCAGATACAGGAATTTATATAATTTATATTACACTTATATAAAACCTGAAATAATGTTGACTGTATTTGCCATCAAGTATACTATATCTAATAAGAAATTTTATTTATTACAGCCAAAATCATCATATTTTACATAATATTCTATGCTGCTCTGGTATCTTTGTTTGCAATATGCATGGTGACGTTCCTGCAACAGTTCATAAATCCTCGTGTGCCACGCCTGCAGCAGGATTATAGTGTGATTGGCACAAGTCCAGGCCTTGGCTTTCGACCACTGCCAGAGGATGTTCGGAGCACCCTCATCTATTATAAAGGCACTAGTTATGACAGCTACAAATATTGGGAAGACCAGCTTATTGACTTTCTTTCAGGTAAGTATTTAATCACATTCACTGCTAGCAAATATTCCATTATATTTAAGTACATCTTTTTAATAACATTGTAACTTTACGACTTAGTCCTGGTCAAGTCACAAGAAGTTATAATTTAATTTTGATAATATTTAAAACAAGTGAAAAGGAGGTATTTTAATAATAAATGTAAGTAAGTACTGTACTCAAATATATATAGATATATAAATATAAATAACAATGTTGTTATTATTAAGTCTTCTCCCGTAACATGTTATAATGCATAATATACTTCAATAAATTATATTAAATATTAACCCAATTACAATTAAATCAGTCCAGTGGGTTTGGAGAAACAGAGAACATGAGTGATCCCAGACGAATTCAGTTTTATTCTTTTTTGGTATGGAACTCTAAAAGGGTCAGGGCTATAATTAGGTTATACAGAATCCATTAGGATTGCAGGAGTGTTGACGTTGACTATCTTTCTGCAGTGTACAAGAAGAAGGGTCAGACAGCAGGAGCAGGTGCAAATATTTTTGACTGTGATTTCAACAAACTGCCGCCTCCAGGCAAAGTGTGCGACGTAGACGTCCGAGACTGGGAGCCATGCATCGAGGAGAACCACTTCTCCTTCCATAAATCATCTCCGTGTATCTTCCTCAAACTCAACAGGTCAGCTTATAAGGTTTTATCAGGATGGCCATTGTGTTGAAGTGGCTCGCATGACATATTCATGCCGATATTGCTTAGAATATGGACTGTCTATACTGACTTAGGTATGAGTGGTAGATATAATATTTATATTCTATGATTGAAAGTCTAAGTCAAAGTCAAAATAATCTTTTCTTTTTTTCTCTAATAATAATCTTTTCTTTAATCTTTTCTTAATTCCACTTTTGAATCGCCCAACATTTTTTTCCCTACAGGATGACTTTTCCATTCGGGATGTCTTTTGGCTGATAAGAAGACTGAGATAGAAACTCACTCATTCAACGCATTGCTAGTCTTATGAAATATACATCCGTCATTCTATGCTTTGTCTAGTTGGTTTGACTGGTAGTTCTTTCTCTCAGTCTATGTTGATATAAACCCTAATAAATCTAAATCGTAAGAAACTTTAATAATAGATTTATTGATTTTTAACCGACTTCAAAAAAAGGAGGAGGTTCTCAATTCAACTGTATTTTTTTTCTTGTTTGTTTCCTCATAACTTTTTACTGTGTGGTCCCTTTTTAGGTTGAAATAGGTGTTTTGTTTCCTTTGGGTGTCCTTCTTTAATAGATAACTTTACAACATCAAGACAATAAAATGTTATTAATTGTCTTTAATAAATTACATCAGCGATCATAATAATGCAGATCTAATTATAATTATAACAATGAAAAGGCGTTTTTCTCTGTTATTATTAGCTTTTTCAGTAATGTAGTAGGATTGGATTAGAGTTGCTCTGTCTTTATCACGCTCGTGAGACTAGATTATGACGTCATTATTTCTTTATTTGAAAATATCATATTTTAAATGTGCAATAAATTATTACAGTACATATTTCATATCTTCAACCGACAAAAAAATCAATCCTCTTATTTTTAGTGTAATCTTATTCCTAACACGAATACGTATTATCTGCATTAAATTGAAGACCAGTTTTGTAGAGCTACTTTTCAGCACAATTCCAAACAAAGTTAACTTAAATGCTCAGCTAACAATAAGGTGCCCTTATCTCTTCCATCCCAGTATATACATAATATCTGCTCGAGAGCCGGGAGCCTGCAAACTGTCGTCATATTCCAGGACTATCAGATTGGCTTCATTGACCATTACGTGTTTTGTTTACCTTTAAAAATAAGTTCTCCTTTCTAATATCTATGTAATATTCCTTTAGAATCAAGGGATATAAAAAGGGAATTAACTTAATATCTGGCAATGGGTTCTATGAGAAAACTATATAGGTCTTAAATTTGCATAAGTATGCGTGATGTTTGTTACCCAATAACTAAAAATATCACTAAAATGCATGAAATAAGAACTTGAAAAAAGAAAAATGGAACCGAATTTGAAAAAGGGAAAAATAATACTTATCTTAAAAACAGTTAAATATTTTAAGAAAGATTGAGGTTGGGCGGTTAATATTTTTAGATTTAAATTTGATAGAAGTGTTTCCGGGCACAGAATTTGTACTATGTGATGTGGTAACATACAGGATATACGGATGGCGGCCGGAATACTACAACGACACGTCGCGACTGCCGGAAGACATGCCGCCCGAACTACAGATGGAGATCAGAAATATCACCAACTACAATAGGAATTATGTAAGCAATCCAACAACTTTTAAACAGTTTCATTGCGTTTGTATTTAGTTTTGTTTACGTTAAGCACATTTTACAGGTTACGGTTATAGAAATCTTTATTCTCAAAAGAATTACTCAAATTCTCTTACTGAGATTTACAAAACACATTAACAATTATAATACCAAAAAGAAAAACTATTACAGTGCAATATTCATATATTTTAACGCAATACACAGATGTGTGAAACATTTAGCCTTCATCTAGATGTGGCATTTATAATGTTCTAACACTGTAAATAAGATAGTATAATCTTTCGGAAAATCAAAAAATGTTTTATTATATATAAATCACGTACTGTCGATGCCGTTTAACTGTTAAGTATGTCATTACCCGACCGGTTCTGTGTTCATATAAGACTAATGTGTTGATTGTCTTTTTAATTAAGAGTTTAGCTACCTTCAAACCGATATTATTGGACACATTCGATACACAAAAAAAAAAGTCAACGTTTACATTTGTTAAATAATATTATTGAAAAAAATACATGTTACTTATTTATTTACCCTTGCCTATCGTTATCTACCATCAGTTCCAAATTGGGGTGTCTTGTGTGAGAAGAACTGGCGATACGATCTGTAAATATTAAATCAAAGGAAACAATTCAATTTTCTTGTCGGAGTTTGTTACTCCAGTTCTTCTCAGACAAGACTCCCAAATTTACATATTTATATTGATCACTCAAAGAAATAATAAAGGTAGCTCTAATTAAATATACTCTTAATTGAAAAGACAATCAACATTTTAGTCTTATGTGAACATGGAACCCGTAAAGGGTCTGAAATGTCAATACAACTAAATACAAATGCAATGAAACCGTTCAAAAGTGGTTTCATTTATGGATAGTGCGCGTGAAAATATAAGAAATCAATATGTAATCCACATTTATCAACATAAATTAAAAACAAAAAGTATAACCATATAAGTTTTATTTTATGACATGGTTCCTAAGAACGGATCTTCGTATGTAGACTTTCTGATATTGACCTTTCTTAACGTAACACCCTGTAAAATACTAAAATTTTGACATATCGTCCAGGCTAACATGGTATGGGTGTCATGTCACGGCGAGACGCCCGCTGACCGGGAGAACATCGGGCCTGTGAAGTATCTGCCGTACCCGGGCTTCCCGGGATACTTCTATCCGTACGAGAACGCGGAGGGTTACCTCAGTCCACTGGTAGCGGTGCATCTGGAGAAACCCAAGTGTAAGTACTCAATATTACACAGCGTCACTTTTTCTCTAGATACATTTATCAACTACCTCACAGCAAGACTATTCAAATCAGTTTTATTTTATTAAGTTTAAATGCCAACACGTTTAATTATAACTATTTATAACACAATGTTTTAAAATTGCATTTTACAATATTCTATTCTCTTTTTATTATAAAATCTGTTTATAATAAAAAGAGAATTGGTTTAATAAATATGACATTAAATTTCAATTCTTAAAAATCATCATGGTCTCGTAGTCCGGTCAATTTAGCCTAAGAATAGGGGTAACCATTTAGCATTAATTATCAGAAAGTTGAAAATTTACATAGATGTTAGGGACACCATTATTATGAAATTGTGATAAGTCCCCAACGATCCCATGTCTTCAAATTTTTTTATTCAAGGTCAAAGGTTGCAAAAATGGGTTTTTTGAATTTTTCACCGAAACGGTTAGTTTTATAAAAAAATATGTTAGACACAAATTGTAGATCATGCAATTATCTACAAAAATTGTCCTTTCACATTTTTTGCTTTCTGGGAATTTTTGCAAGTGTCAATGTCTAAATTGACCGGACTATCGGCCCTAAACACCTAATTTGATATTTGACATATAGTTTTAAAAAGTATAAAAACTTTTTAAAACAAATCACAACAGTAATTATTGTGAATAATATAAACTTAGAAATTATCACAATTTTTATCAACACTAATGTTTCTTTATAATTATATGGTCTTGTTCGTGCATTTTTTAAAACAATTAATTTACCTCGACGTTATAATTATATGCAATCGGGTCTTGTTCGTGCATTTTTTTAAACAATTAATTTACCTCGACGTTTCGGCTACGTTATAGCAGCCGTGGTCACGAGGAGACTGCTGCTGCTGTAACGTAGCCGAAACGTCGAGGTAAATTAATTGTTTTAAAAAATGCACGAACAAGACCCGATTGCATATAATTATAATGTATACAAATCGTGTGAGTTTAAAAATACTAATGTTTCTTGTAACGTAGGCATATATAAAGATTATTGCTATATTTAAAATAGAGATTTGATATAACACACTTATTACATTTATTGTTGTTTGATTATTGATATAAGCCGTAATCTGAATAATAATCGTAATAAATGTTTTTTTTTTCAGCTGGTATAGTAATAAACATCGAATGCCGCGCTTGGGCGAGAAACATCGTGTATAATAGAAAAGACAGACTCGGCGTTGTACATTTCGAGATTATGATCGAGTAGATGCTCCAAATGAACTTATAGTACCTACCACGATATTATTAGCCCTGTCTTCCCAGTAGACCGTGAGAAGACCGGTTATCGTGTAAGCATTTATGATAGTTTAACATATAAAATACGATTCCGTCCAAAACCGGACTTAATAATAAGTCGTCTATTGAGAAGACCAAAAATTTTTGATACTCTATGGCAGATCTGAATATTATGTACCCTCCAAAATGTTATCTCCAATATTACATATTAATATTGTTTTGAAAAGACTTAATCTTACGCGTTAGCTAAGTGCCAATATTTTAGTCTACTGAATAGACCAAAACTTTATTAGAACATATCGAATGTTTTAAGTGTATGATGATGACTTAGTCTTTTAAGTAGACTGTTAATTTAATCTCTGGAAGAATCTCGAGAGGTAGGTCATAATGGTTTTGCATTTTTAGTAACTAAGACAGCAGCGCAGCTATATATTTTTATTATATGTTTTTAAAAAATAATTTTGCATTTTAATAGCATAAAATTTATGTCTTTATCTCTTGTTTTTAGCGTAAGCCATAGGTACTTACATTTTATTGTACAAGTCTCTCTTTTTTATTATTATTAATATTTTATACTTTTTATTTATTGCAAATGGAAACTAAGTAACTGATTGTTTTTCTAAAATTACATTTGAACTCTTTAGCAGTGACGCAACAAGTACCATGAGTATCCATTAACCGAATATTCTTATTTGCTGCAATATCATGAATGTCAAGAATGATCTAATTAAAACTGAACTTAACACAAATTGCGTCTTCATTGCGATATACATCATTGGCCTATTTATCTCCAGCGCTGGGCACAGCTCTTCATTATGTATAGAATTCAATCACAACGCGGGCTCAGTGCGGATTTGTGTGTGTTAATAACTGCAAATATATCCGGGATCACGGAATCGACTTGCCTCCCGAAGCTTCGACGAGCTCGAGGTAATAAATTTTGGGCACCCATCCTATGATCGGCCTTTCTGAAAGTTGCTTAACAGTTATTTTTTTTATAGATGATTGACTTTTTAACATTCATGTCACAAATGTTGTGCATTTACTGTCAATGGCTTTTACCGATTGAATCTCATAGTAAAAAAAAAACAGTATGTGTATTTATTACCTTGTTGATCTTATTCGGTAATGTAGTATTTGTTGCGTCGCTGCTCGACAGTATGACTTTATTCTTTTGAAAAATTGTATATTTCTTTTTATAAACTGTTGAGTAGTTCGTTCGGAATCGATTGTATCGTGAACGTGAATCTCAGGTTATCATAAAAAATAAAGATTTTAAGCAGGTCAAGTAGGCTTGTAAAGTGAAATTAAATGGAAGAATTTGAACTTAGCTCACTGGACGTTAAGGTTTAAAATTGTTAGAAAACTTGGTAATACTGGAAATACTTCTTTTTTTTAATGATATTATGAAAATCTCAAGCTAGCTATGGTATTTTTAATTCAATTTATATCCTAATTTTATATCTTAATTTTTTATAATTTTATATATTTTATTATTTTTTACTAGTTTTCGGGTTCGTCCACTTGGCCTTGTATTATACATAAAATATATATTTGGAATCACTTTATAAAAAAAAAAAACAATTTAATCAAGTCTCTACGTCTACAATAAAAGTTTTTCTATCATCGTTTAATCGTAATTTCAGAAGGTAATATCCACCACTACTACTACTAGTTTTCGCCTTCGTTCAAAACTTCTTAGCGTGTAAAGTACGACATAAGTTTGGTTTATAATAATGTTGATCTGTCTGTCTATATCTTCACATCGTCCGCCTTCTTGACACTCATAATATTATTCACATACAGTACATGCTGTTTTTTCCCTCTATAGCACTCGATTAATCTGAAGATGAAATGTGTATTTTGACCTTCCAACGTATTTTACATTTCACCTTTCACGTTTGCGTTTTGTATTTTATCATATTTCATCTGAAATTATTTCTAATTTGTCCGAACAAACGGATCATGCCTGTCAACATTTTTATACTGACAATATCTCAGGTCAACTCTTATCTCTTCATTATGTCAATTAAATGTAAATAATATAATTATTTCTAGATAAAGTTTACATTGCGTCTCGTAATAAGTCACCACAATAAGTCAAGTTTCCGCAGTTTATTTCCAACTGTATCTTTAATGCATAAGGTTCAAATTGAAGAAATTTGATACTGACGTGATGTTGAATGTACATAATTAGTAACGACGAAATATAAAAAAAATATGTTTGTACAGTCAACAACCTGTAACTGTAACCTGACGTAGGTCATACGAAATTGTCAATTTTCTCCACTTGATTTTTAAACCTTAATACGTTGATGGTACAGTTTAAACTCAGTTGCGGAAATTTGTCATTTTGTGGTAACCGCGTCTATATAATTAATAATGTTAAGCTTCATTAGTGAAATTCAGCTACGTTAATCAAAACAGTTCTTATAATATCGTACTTTAACTTGAATAAATTATTACACACTAAACAATATGGTTTCACAGATGGTCGCTCTACTATACTAGTAATAATAATATTAACAATAAAGCCTTTTCTTCGAACATTAAATTTACAATTTTACTGCGATCCACTACATATCTACTAATGTAATTAATTGTATTCTCGCGTGTATTTTTTTATTTTTTATTTTCTATACTATTTTCTTTCTATACTGTACTATACTGGTACCACTTCTTAAAAATATATCCACACGCGCCACATAATGCTCTTTGAGTATTTAGCAAGGCATTTGATTGTGTTGAGCCTCGAACATCTAACGTAACTAAATTTATATGATATCGAAGGCCCAGTCGCTTTTAGTTCCAAAACTAAACCATAGATATAAACGGTACGACGGCTTCTGTTTCACAAGTGAAATTGGGGGTTCCCCAGGGATCTATTCTAGGTCCCTTTCTATTTCTATCATACATAAATGATTATCAATTATTTATCTAAAATTTATGCGACATAGTATTGTTTGCAGATGATACTGATATGATGTAAGCTAAGTTCTTTCACAGATTATGACCTGGTTTACTGTAAATAATCTAAATTCTAAAAGACGAAACATATAAAGTTTATGTTACCTAATGTAAAAGCAGAACTAACAGAAATTATACTTAATGATGAAAGTACGAGTTGGTTGATTCAACAATCTTCTTGGTTGTAACGTTGGATTCTAAATTGCAATGGCATCGTCACTTTTTATTATCGGCCGTAAAACTTAGTTCAGCTGCCTATGCAATACGAAAAATCAGACAACTCATAGATGTAGGTACTGCCAGAACAGCAAACTTCAGTTATTTCCATAGCTTTTTGACGTACGGTATTTTGCTGTAGGGTATAGCTGTAGTTTTTGTATTTATTTTACAAAAATGTGCAGTAATAGCTATCTATCAATCAGGGTAAGAACATCATTTAGCGATAAATTCAAAGAAATTGGATATTGACAGTGGCAATTTATATACAGTTGTATACTTTATGTTAGAAACGATGTTAACAGTCACGTTAAACATTGAACGTAAAGAAAGTTCTAGCAACATTTATGGGGCAAGGTATACAATCTATAATAAAATTCCAACGGATTTTTTTAAAATTAACCATTGCCTAAATTTAAGACTCGTATTAGAAATTGTCTACTTAGTAAAGAATAATATACTGTTAATGAATATTTAAACGAAAAAACTCATTGATGTTAAATATATGTGTGGTTTATAACTATAATGGTTTCGAGTCTCAAAAAAATGATTTTGTGTCATTCATTAACCTTTCTCTTAATAATAATGACAATAAATATAAATTATTAATGTGTAAATATCGTTTAAACACCTACCAGTATTCCAATAAAGATAACGTAAGACTGTGATTGACAATCTTCTCTTAATGACCTTATATGTTTGTTCACAACTAGCGGCATACTGAGGTCGCTAACGTATCCTACAAAAAATTAATAGCAAGATATGTATATCAGGTTCTCAAATATAAAAACAAAACATATTTT